TCGGTCACTCATTTATGATGGATTGAACAAAAAGGCTTTTCAAGTTTCTTAGTTCTTATTGTGTTCTGATTTCCTATTGTTTGCCTAACTAGTGCAATTTGTCTTGTAGGTATTCCATTTGGATCTGTTAATTTATTGTATGGAGTCGATGATGATGAAAGCAAGGCAAGCTTCTTTCTTCTTCCCTTTTGCTGGCTGTAAAGTTTTGCAAAGAGAAACGTCTCTAGAAACATGTTAATTACCAATAATGTTGAGATTTGCTGAGAGTTCCAAAATTCTTATGCATTTTGCTTCAGTAATTTTGGAATGGTTATTCTACTGATTTTGTAACCATTAAACATATTACCTGAGTGTCATCTAATCCTCTATATCACTTTTGAATTACCTCTACTCATGTTCAGTAATTTTTGACGATAAATACCATCACATATGTCCTGCTTAATCTCTCGTATTCATGCTTGTAACTAGCACGAGCAAGTTACCTGGCTATTAAGTGGACATGAACATACATTAGATTTGCTGTTGACATCTGGATGTTACTCCAGATAACATCGACGGCTGGTGGCGGCACTTTGACATTGGAGTTCGGTGTCTTGAGTCGGTTGACTAATAACACTGGTCAGTATTGGCAATATGAATCAGTGTTGTGCTTTGATCTTGTAGTATCGCTTTCTTATTGTTAGTGCATTATATCATTCTTTGTTAAATTTGCTACTCCCATCGCAGTTTTTGAGCAAGTTGCAAAAAAATCAGTGCGTGGGATATGGGCACGCAGGTCGAAACTCAACCTTGTTGGTGCCCATATAAATGTCTTTACTGGTGAATGGACACAAAAGGTATTAATTGTTATCCTCGTATGACAATTTTTGAGCCACCAAATGTATTTTTCTGCACTCTCTTGCCGTATAACACTTTGATGTACAAGAAGCTAGCTCATGGTATTTGTGTAGGCATGTACCACTGTCTGGGATAAATACCATGTCCCATGCTACTCACTATGTCTATTTATTAAATTGATATGACTGGTCACGCCAGTGGAGTGGAAACATGTTTGTTCTGCGTTGTATCGTCGCTTTTGCTTGTCTGGGGGCCGTGCTAACAATACCAACATAATTACTTCCAATTTTTTCCCTTTGCATTCTTAGTTTCTGAAGACGATTCACCATTACCATCATGCAGGATGCAGGAATCGGCACAAGCATCGACTCGTTCTACGAATATGTTCTGAAGGTGTCCAAAACTCTAAATAATGTAGAACATAGATATTATTTTTTTGGAAAAAAGTATTGTACAATCGAATGTAATAAGATAGGCGTGCCAGATATTTTTGAATAATCCTTGATACATGTTTATTCTATAGCTTGACCAAAACCCTGCTCATCATCTAGTTGGTTCTCTCTTAATCTATTTCTTGACTTCCCTACCATAGATTTTAACAGTTATTATTTTGTATCAACAGGCATATTTATTGTTCGGAGATGAAGAATACTTGTATGTATTTCAAGAGGCTTACAAGGCTGCCATGCACTACCTCCACCATGATCCTTGGTAAAAATGCTATTACTTTTTAAATCATATTCAACGCTGTTAAGCCCCAGTATCATGTCATTGTTTGAGGATATTTGGTTATTTTGCAAGGTTGTATTTTTTAAAGGTCAAAATTGGAATTTGATCTCTATAACATGATGAAACTGTAACGTACAACTACATAAGTTCAATCATGTTTTCTTGCTCAGCATATACGGTCAGATAGTTTATGTTTTCATGCTATTGTAAGTTTTTCAGCTGCTTCCTGTTGAATGTTCAAGTTTGATGTCTAATTTTCAAAATTCCATGTTAGGTATATTGAGGTAAATATGAATTCTGGTGCTACTGTTTGGCCACTATTCAATAGTCTGCAGGCATTCTGGCCAGGACTTCAGGTTTGGGTTCTTCATATAACAGAACATATACCAGCTCTGCAGCACATATTTTAGATAATTGCTTATGCTACTTAGATTTAAGGTTTTAGCTGGAGATGTCGATCCTGCCATTCGAACACATGCTGCCTTCTTTAGCGTCTGGAAAAAATATGGGTTCACTCCAGAAGGGTTTAATCTGGCTACATCCACTGTTCAGGTAATGGAATAACCGAATAAATTTTATGCGTTTATGGGTTAATAATTTTTGGTCCTCAATCTGGCCGGATACACCGCAAGCCTTGAACTTCAAATGGAATTATCAATTCTAAAAGACAAATATGGTCCTAGCAAAACTGCTGTAATGAGAGTATTTACCACTTTCTTATTCTCACCATTTGATATGTTCCAATGTTTCATAGAACGGACAAAGGAGCTACCCGCTGCGGCCTGAGTTGATTGAAAGCACATATTGGCTATTCAAGGCTACCAGAGATTATAGGTGTGTTTTCTTTGCAAGTAAGATATAGTTTGTTCTTGTGTAAACAGACCAATCTTTTAGAATCAAGTGCTCTTACCACTTAAAGGGACATATGAGACCTGAGTGAAGCTCTCCATGTATGATTCTTTTATGTGATGCTGATGTGGACAAAAGAAGTGTTCACCTTCGCTATTATTGATGGGAACCTGTTGATTTTTAGTTAAGTGCAAAACTATAACTTTGTTACCATGAAAAATTTGCAGGTACCTTGATGTTGGAAGGGATATACTAGCAAGCCTTCAATATGCTGCTAAATGTCCTTGCGGCTACTGCCACATTTCAGATGTGGAAACCCACAAGCAGGATGACCACATGGAGAGTTTTTTCCTTGCAGAAACGGCAAGTAATTTTATATCAAAATATGCAATATATTCTTTGCCAATAAAATGCTGGCATGATTTTTTTCGTGGACCAGCACCGCACATCACCTAGATCAGTTTGTTAGAAATGAGATTAGCATGTGTATGGGTAACTACTTAGTACTTCCTCCGTAAAGAAATATAAGAGCGTTTAGATCACTACTTTAGTGATCTAAACGCTCTTATATTTCTTCACCAGTTCTAAACATTTAGTCATTTTTCTTGTAGGGTATCTTAGTCTACTAACACGAGAGTGAACCATAAACTTTAAAACAATCTCTTCTCTGGACCCTAACATTTATGATTAGATCTGGCGAACTACGAAATATAATCATCTACTTTGTGTCTCCTAAAATTTATGTGCACATTATATTTCCTCGAGCCCTTCTCCCGAATCATAATATGTATGAATGCTTGACATGAATTAAAAAAACAGTCATTTCATGTCTGTACCAGTTAAATCTAACTACGAACACATTGCAGGTAAAATATCTCTGGCTTCTTTTTGATTTAGCTGTAGGCCCTGATAACATTGTTGAAAATGGGCCATATAAGTAAGTACGACTTCTGTGGAGTTATTGAGTTCAGTTGCTTATTCAGATGTAACATTCCAACTTACCATGTATCATTGACTCTGCAGATACATATTCAGCACAGAAGGCCATTTGTTACCTGCTACTCCCGAAATAACCTTGGTAGATGAGCATTGTCTTTATTTTGGAGACCGTGGCTACGGCAGTGGTGATGGTTCCAGTATACAGCAAAGTGCTAACTGTGCCCAGTTTGATGAAAGACGGACTGTTTCCAGTCAAAATTCATTGTCCAATGTTTTGTTCACAACAAGAGGTTACATCAAGGTATGCTCTACTGCATTTCTGATTAACTTTTCTTTAGGCACCTTCTCTGCCTTGCAGAAAGAAAATGGACGATAATGGAACATGTTGTTTAAATTGAATCTGCTTTAATGATATATTAACTGTTTGCATGGAGCATATTTAATTGTGTTATTAACGTTCCACTTGTTGTTACCGGTCCTTCACTAGGTGAGGAAAGATGAGATTGAACAGTGGAATGTATATTTTATCTGAGTAGTTTAGGAGTGGACTTCGAATGCCATGCATGGTTTCCGTGTCAATCTGATGTTGCGTTCGAGTGTTCAATATGTAAGAACTAAAGATGGACGGCCTTATTTTATGGTTTATTATGGTGCTTGTGCTATTGTACAGGAATACCACACTTACCAAGCGGATCTTTTAAGATCTTTTGTCACTTCGATCTAGTATATGCGTTGGTTTGAAGTTGAAGGTGTGTTTTTCTTTTCTGACTGCGATACATCTTTTTGCTAGGGAGTTTGTCCAGGATTGAGTCATGCACAGAAACTTGGCATATCATACCATGGCGAAGAGGATAACACGCAGAATTCTAGAAGTCATGAGCACCCCGATGAATCTTATGTGGACCAATCCAGTGTCCAGATTCAATCGAGTTCTGTAATATTGATCTCTCATCCAGCCACAAGCCCACCTGATGAGCCTTTGAAAACCAGGTCAAGAGCTCAGCACCTTGAAAATATTGTGGTAACTGGCGATTCTGAGCCAATAGAAGTTACTGATGCTACTGGTGGCTCGTCCGAAGGAAACACTGAAATTTTTTCCGAGGTCACCTTAAGCATCTCTGAACAGATAGAAGTTACTGCTGAAGAGATTGTGACTCAGGACAATCATATTGAAGATAGTACCAGCTGACCATTAGAGTAGGCACCAGTTTTTACACCTAACCTGGAGCACCTTGAGAATCAACATTCATCAACAGATTTTGTTGTAGATCAAAAAGTTAATATTCTGTTGCAGCGAACCGATATATGTTCTGTTATATGGGTTTGATCAAATAGCTGATGTAAAGTTATGTACACTAGAAGCAAAGGAACTATATGGCCAAAATGGCACATACCATCACAGATCAGCAATTTTACTGAGAACTTGGACCTATCTGTGCGTGCGTGAAATTTTCCTTGGATGTTTTTATTATTCATCCAAGTCGCGAGACGCAGTCTTCAAGGCGGGGCGAGCAAACCATCTGACGGCGAAACATCTCAGAATGGAAACGCTTAGATACAAATATCCATCTCTGGAATTACATTACACCGATCATGGCGATGCTCGCGAGCGGATTACATGAGACGACGAGGAAACTATGTGTAGCTTAGAGCGAGAGGCCGCCGGACTCCTCGTCCTCGTCGAGGCCGGAGGTGTAGACGGTGTAGAGCGACCAGATGAGGCCGAAGACGCCCAGGAGGATCCACCCCAGCAGGTTGTTGCTCAGCCCCAGGCTCAGCCCGGTGCCCTCCGTCGACATCCGCTCGTCGACCAGCGCCAGCGCCGGCCCCGCGGACGCGGTCACCGCGCCCGCCGCGGCGAGTAGGGACGCGCCAGCCCCGCGGACGGCGGCGGCAGGGGTCGCCTCCTTGGCGTCCTTGGAGTAGCTGCACCTCACCCTCTCGCTCCTCGTCCTCAGCTGGGGCAGACCTGCACGGTTAATCGGCTCAGCTCAGCTCAGGCTTGGGCTGCGAACGCTGCACATGGAACACACACACGCGCAGCGACACGTAGCGCTACGTACCTAGGGCCTGCGGCCTGGCGATGGCGGCACGGGCGACGACGGTGGTCGCCGCGGCGGCGCTGATGGTGGCCATTTGGTTGTTGTGCTTGCGCTGCTTGCCGCCGGCCTGCTGGTGCTGGAGAGTGTGCCTTGCTCGGGTCTTGCTTGGCTAGCGTGTGCTGGTCCGCACGGTGTATCCTTAATAAGGCGACGTGTGAAAATATCGACAATAAGCGGGGCCGCGGATCGCTTGGCACCACCAGGATTGGGTGAGGCGGGAGATTGGCTATCCTGTCGTGGCCAATCAGAGCTTGCCGCGTGGACCCGCAGATTCTCCGGTGGAAATAAGTGGACGTCTGCACAGCGACTCTAGTTTGGCTGAGTGGTACTGGTATTTCGAGAGGAGAAATCGCATGTTGTAGGAATTTTTGCCATATTGATTAATTAATCGCATGCTGTCCCGATGCTAATTCTCTAGCCCGGCTATGGGAAGTTTTGGCCCCACTTGTTTCATTTCGACCTATTATATAAAACCTACATACACAGTATTTTCCTATGCATGCCATAATACAGCTTATGGGCTACCCAACTTGCTCAACTTCTTTTAGACGGTCATTGAACTCTTAAACTACGGGCCTGTTTGGTTTGGCTAATTTTGTCATAGTTTGCCACTCAAATTTTGCTAAACTTGTCTAACTTTAGGTTCACAAACTCTTAGCAACACTTCAGATTGCCTAAGAAAATATTGTCACATTTTTGTGCGTACGGCATGCCGAGTTTATTTTTTCACAAAAGGAATCTTGTCTACTGTGTGGCTTGAACCAAACATCCGTTCAATTTGATCAAACATATCTAACATCGGTCGAATGAACACCATATATTGCATTGATATGCAAAAAGTAACTTTGGACCATAGGCATACTGTGTCCTTTTTTTTTCAAAGTTCAAAGAAACGGATTTTTATAGCTAAAAAAATTCTGAAATTCTTCGTACATGCACACATAGAGGGGTAATATATGTGTGTGAATTTTCATCAAAATTTGCGCTTGTATGTGAGAGATAGAAAATACAAATAAATGCAAAAATCATCTTGTTTTTTGTTACCGGATCTTTGTCTTTTTTGCAGGGTATAATATAGCATAACTGTGAAACAAAATTTGAATGTCACTTAGAGCACATGCATAAATTTTGAGTGTGAAAACAATCAATTCTTTTTTAAACCTTTAAGTGCCAGTTTCTAGCCTTTAATAAAACATGCTCAGTGGCCACCGTGCTTGAAAAGTCCTCTTTGGTTGCTATGTACCTCTTCAAGCAATTTTTATTTAGATGGCGCTTCTATGGGCCGCACAATTTTTATTTTGATTTTTCAAGTTATTTATTTTTATTTTCATATTATTTTACCATTCAAAAAAATAATGTAAGAAAAATTACAATTGCCATAAACTTGAAGAAACTGTTAGTGCGTTTTAAAACTGTTCAACATGTTTTTGGAGGATGTTTCACGTGTACTAAAAAATTATAGCGTGTTTTTGAAAAAAAATGTTCGTCTTGCATTAAACAATTGGAAATTTGTATTAAAACGAGTCCAATTTGTATTAAGAATCATTCTATAGCATTTTGAATATTTGTATTAATTTTTTTAACACAATACTTTTTAATGCATGCTGAATACTCCATAATAATTAGGTATTTTAATTTGTTAACAATAGAAATACAATAAAGATAAACAATAGTGTGTGTGCCTTGTGGTCCAGAATCATATATTTAGACAACAATTTCTAATATAGGTTAAACTATTTCAATCCCCATAAATTGTTGAAAAAAATTCATGTCTAGCTCTTCAAAGTACGTGCAACAAAACTAAACATGATCTTTTAAAAAAACCGATAGATAACACATTAGAAAATTTGCAGAGCGATATGTGGAAAGCGTCTACAAAGCTTTCTATCTAAGAGGTGAACGCATGGCATATTTTGGCCAAGTGGGCAGACCGAGTCGTAGTTGATCAGGAAGTGTCAGGTTCGATACCCCTACATTATGAATTTTTCATGTTATTTCTCACCACCGTACACTGTGTTTGAGGTCTTTTTTCATGAGGGGGGTTTCCGCTAAAAAAAATCCTCACGCACGGAGTACCCAACACTGTCCCTGCTCTCAGCAACTGACAGGTGGGTCACTGCCATGCTGGCATGCCACACGGGTTAGATGTACGGGCGGATATAGAAGGAGACACCCTATTTACACGGCCGGGCAAGTTCAAACACTTATTTTATGTATTTTACAACTTTAAACATCAAACCGAACATGCAGGACAAGTTGAGTCACCTTCAATGTATTTAACTTTAATCGGAGTGCGTAGACATTCCATATAGAGCATGTAAACCATGCGCATGCGATCGAAAGAAACCATCCCGCTGTTCTGTGCAGGCTGCAGCTTCCGGGATACTACTGGCCATCTCTCCCAGAACCGCATTACGGCCAGCAATCAACGCACGCATCGTGCGTATACACCGCACGCCGAAACAAAAGGAGGGCCAAGTAGAAGTTTTCAATCCTTCTATCTGAATCTGACCATCGATCGGTGCTTTCTGTTCTGATGTTGCCTCGGAGCAGAGGACACCGAGCTCCTTCCATCGTACGTATATGCATGGCATACAGACTACGCGCGGGTACTGTACGGCCGTCTTTCTAAATGAAAAACAGGTACACCGTAGACCGTACACACCATGCAGACGCAGACACGCAGTGCTGCAGTGAGAAGCCGTGCTGCTTCTGCTTTCACTTTTCAGCCAGCCAGCCAGCCTTCAAACAGTGTGCCCGGTCAAACCAAACCACCCGCGGGCGTGACGACCTTTCTTCTCCTCCTCCTCCTCCTCCTCGGTCTTTTTTTTGTCGTGCCGCCACACCTGGACGCCCGCGTATACAAGCGCAGACACGCGCGCGATCGCGGCACCACCAACAGCGGCAACATCGGCATGCGTGCAAGCATAGCCTCGGCATTCAGAGCACCCAGAGGCCACCGGGAGAACTTGGTCCTTGAGCCATGGACGAGTGGTTCTTCTCCGTCGACCGGGACGACGACGACGGCCTGATGAGCCTGATGGGCCTCCTCTCGCCCCCGCCCGCGGTGGCGCACCAGGGCAGCGCCTTCGCGCCGTACCAGCGGCGTAGTACGGCGACGTCGTCGCTGGCGTCCCCGGGCCGGCGGCAGCGCGCGCGGGGCAGAGCCAACGTCCACCGGAGCATGCACGAGTACCTGAGGCCGAGGCGCATCAATGGCCTTGAGTCGTCTCCCCAGGGGACATCTTCTGGAGCACGAGCGGCGCCGCCAGCGAAGGAGCCGATCGAGCCGCAGGTGCCGCGCAGCTCGGCGTTCCGGCACATCACGCGGGAGCGGCTGCGGCGGGAGCGCCTCAGCCAGGGCTACGCCGACATCCGCGCCCTCCTGCCCCCGGGACGGGCACCAAACGTACGTACGTTGATCACATCAATTGGTCGCTGAACTGCAAACGCAAGTGAAGTGACACGAGCATTTCTCTTCTGCACGTTCGTATGCAGGGTGCCAAGAACTTCGTCCTCGCCGCGGCGGTCGACTACATCAGGGAGCTGGAGGGGAGGAAGGGCCGGCTTGGCGCGCGGAATGCAGAGCTGGTGAGATCGTCAGAATCAGACGGCGCGTCCCGCGGCGGTGTGGTGGTCAAGGTGCGCGGCGAGGGCGTGTGTTCTTCTATGGCTGGCGTGCTTGAGGCGGTGCTCCGGCGGCTCAAAGCCATGCATGAGCTGCGGGTGACGGCGATCCGGTCGTGGTGCTGCGACGGCGCCATGTGCATGGACGTCGCGGTCGCGGTGGAGTCAACGGTACGTGCGCCGGAAAGCCTAATCCGACTTTAGTTCTTTCGACGAATTGCTCTCCATCAGTGCCCGAGTTAACGGGGTAGGAGTAGTATAATATAGGGAAGAAAATTTCGTGGACACCGGCTGCAAAGTCCATCCTGTGCGTACCCTTGCCCAGATTCGTCCACGTGTCCTCTTCTTACATCCGACATCGCAGTTCATTCCGATCCGTTCGCTCCTTCCGTCGGCTCGGGAGCACTCGCTCGGCTCCAAATACGTGCGATCCCAGCTCCCTCACGAGGCAAGGCCGGCTGAGGCGGAGGCCCACATAGTCGGCCCTTTTGTCTCGCAGTCGCCCGGTTCCAAGCCTCCGCGTCTTTCGTCCGCCGCAGCCGCCGCCGCCGCTGATGGAAGGCACGGTGTGCCCAAACCAAGGTGATCCCGTCTCCGGCGCCGGCCTCTCACTCCCCCACGCGCACCTCCATCTCGCCCAGTTCAGAACTGGTGACCCCCTCCCTTGCAAGTCTGAAAGTTTGTGTTTCCTTTTGGCTGTTAGCATGCAATTAGCTCCTTCAGGTAAGAGGTTTGATTTGCTAATCGTACACGACCACATGTTAATCACATATTTTGATTAAACTGGGACGAACGAAGTGCAACCTAGCAAGCTCGTACTTGATCGGATTGTTTGATTCGCTCAGTCGAGCTACAAAATCAATTGCATCACTAGTTTCAAAGTAAAGAAAGTGTAGTTTCAGACCCAAGGGTGTTTATCTTACAGGAGGATGAACTGTACATTATTTTGCTATACGTCTGACAACTATCTGACCAAACTCACATGCTAATAATTCAATGCGATTTGTGCATGTCTTTGCAGTCGTGAAAGAGAAGTTTTCAAATTGGCAAGGATTCCCCCTGGTCCAACTAGCTAAGATGGTAGAAAAGGGAACAAAGAGCAAACAGGAGGTCACCTACTCATGCAACAGTCATGCTTCGCCATCATTCTACTGGACGAAGACCCCGAAGTACACCGCTGGAACAAGACAACTGACGCCATGGAAACAACATCAATAATTCCTGATGAGTAGACTTAAAAGTAGGATTTTGAGATATTACAAATCTGGAGTAGACTTCGTGACAAATCGTGTACTAGTATATAGCTGATTGCTCTCTCTGACAATTTCCAACTATAATGTACAGTTGTACATTGTATCTTTTTTCATCTAAGATATATATGAATGAGGTGCTCGACCTCGAAGATTT